TCATTTTTACCTGCTTCTTTCTTTTTGGATCATGGGGGTCACTGGTGCCCATGTTCAGCAGTCACTGTGCGAGAGGTGGGGGACTCCCTGGACAGGTCTCCAGTCCATCACAGGGCCACATAGAGACAAACGAGACAAACAACCATTCACTCTCTCACTCACACCTAGGGACAATTTAGAGTTACCAATCAGCCTAACATGCATGTTTTTGGTCTGTGGGAGGAAAACCAAGTACCTGGAGAAAACCCACACATGCACAGAGAGAACATGCAAACTCCACCATGCAAGACCCCCGGCTGGGATTTGATCAAGCGACCTCCTTGCCGACAGGCTGTTGCTGCTCAGTTCTTGCTCTAACAACTGAGCCATCGTTCTGCCCTTCCAATAGAACATACTTAATTAAAACTATAGATTAGACTAATTATTTTAACAAGTACAAACCACTCAAAATTCATACCAAACCAGTTTGACACGACTGTCAACAAGGAAGAGGGCCAGCAATGGAGGAGGGGGTGTGCCAAAGAGACCATCTTAGCACCAACATAACTGGTTTGTTCCATTTTGGAGTAAGCTGTTGGGGGAAGAATCAGTTTAGTGTTGTGTGTTTCCTTGACTGATGAAGCCTTCTGGATCGAAGGCGAAACGTTTCAGCACAAAAAAAGAAACTGTCCAGATGACCTGACTGAAAAATGTTGAATTTTATACCTGGATTATTGAGCATGGACCTTGTTGTTCATACCCAATAACCTGAATAAATACAATTCACTACTTTCACATTGCTGGTGTTTGGATAAAAAAAGACTGCTTCAGTTCAATAAAAAGATGGGAGGTACCGTATCATGTTTGTCAGATGATAAAAGTGATTGATAAATAGCACCTGCATGTGGGTCTGGCAGCTAACAGTAAGTTTGACCAATTAGGGAAAACATTGCACTTCATTCACTAAAGTTGGTAAGAAGAAATTGTGTTTTAGATTGTTGTGTGTGTCACTTCAGCATATTTCCACCTAGAAAGTCCATTCGACTTTTAAACAATTCACAAGACGTTCAGCTATCAAGAATTAATTCAGCTTTTTGATATCTTGAACCGTTCTTGTAAAATCAAAGTTTAAGTTTGTTAAAGTTATGGTGTTTGTCTCCTGTCTTTCGTTTCCATAGTAACAGGATGTTAACTGTGCAGCTGGGAGAGAATCCTAAACATCCAGCTGATGTGACTGTGTGTGTTTTAACTCATGTTCAGCTCCTCACAGGTTCATTCAGCACTTACAGCTTCTAATTAGCTTTTTCAGACGTTCATCTATTATTGAACTCAGTTTTATCCAGTTTATTGCTATAAATAAAGTCACAACAGAAGTCATCTGTACAAAAACAATCATAGATTATAAAAGCCAACTAGACAAGTTGCATTCCCTGCAAAAATGCAGAGTGAATGCTTATTGTTGAATTCTTTTGCTGAAAGCTGCTTAAAAAGCCAGAGTGTATTTGAAATACGACAATAGCTAAAAATTTGACAGATGAAGTTACAAGAAGAATAAAAAGCAAAACAAATTCTTAAAAATGCAGAAAAAGATTGAAATTATGTTAGAATAGCTTAAACGTGAAGAAAAGCAATAATTAGAAAAAAAAATCTAAAAGTAGTATGAATAAAGCCACAAATAGGAAAAAAGGCTTATACAAAAGCAAATAAATAAATAAACACATAAATAAATGGCTAGTTTAAAATCAGAAGTAGGAAACTATTAACAAATAGCAGAAAAAACAACAAGTCTAAGTGGTTTGTGTTTTTTTCAGCTTCAACTCATTCATTGTTAGACACTGTAGGCTAGCTAACATTTCGTGTGGTAGTAGCAGAGACTGGGGTGGCAGTCAAAATTCAAGGTCAAACATCAAGGTCACAAGTTGCCCCCTTACTTTAAAGAGCTCTAATATGATAAACAAAGAAAGGTAAAACTTCACAGCTGAACCCCATGTGGGTCAACAAAGATCCCTATTGCTGTTTAAGTTCATGGGGGTCAAAGGTCAAGGTCAAAGGTCAGTCTGTTCTTTAAATAGCTCTAAATCTGGAACCCTTTCACACAGAATTCTCAAACTTGATACATGGACACCTCATGGGTCAACAAAGCTCTCAGTTAATTTTATGGTTAAATGTAACTGTGTTAAACTGGAGTAACCACAGTTTCACTATTTCTTGCTCAAAGCTAGCTTTTTCTTTATTTCCTACTAACATTTTGCTTCTTCTGGCTCTTTTTTTTTTTTTTTCATTTAGCCTTTATTTATCCAGGTTAGTCTCATTGAGCCACGAGAACTCATTTTCAAGAGAGACCTGTTTTAGGGAGCACATAGTGGGGTTAAGGGCCTTGCTCATGGGCCCAGAGTGGGGCGAATGAGGGTGGGGGCAAGTGTGGGTGTTTCACCTACCCCACCCACAATTTTTGATGTTGTCGGGGCCGGGGCGTGAACCGGCGATCTTCCGATCACAAGCCCACCTCTCTAACCTCTGCGCCACCACTCCCCACCATCTTCTGGCTCTTAGCTAGTATTTACCTGCTTTTTAGCTGGAATGTCAATACTTCTACCTCCAAGCTAGATTTTTCATGCTTTTTTGCAAACATTGTGCTACTTCTGAGACTAAGCTAGCTTTTTATTTATTGCTAGCATTTCACTCATTCTGGCTGTTAGCTAGCATTTTCCTGTTTTTGCTAACATTTTGCTACTTCTGCCTCTAAGCAAGGCTTAATTTGCACCAGATCCTGCCTGAACAGGGTCTGGGAACTCTCTTATTTTGACAGGTTGTGTTCCAGTAACTGTTTGCTTGGATCTGGTAACTCTCAGGTTTACTAATAATAAAGTTATGAACAAATATAACTGCCTTGAACAAAAAAAAAATTATATTGGATATGTAAATTGAAAATAATTAGATAAACACACTTTCAACACAACTATTTACGAGCATACGATCTCTTCAAGTAGTATTTCCATGTCTACCTTTAAAAAAATCTCTGCCCCTAAAAGAGTGGTGGGGTGAGTACCGAGCTAACCAGGAAGTCATGGGCAGGAGCCCACAGGCAGCGGCCATGAACAGAGGTTTCACATGTGGAATTGGACAATAATGAGCAGGGACAGTGTTGGGCTCAGAACCATCAAGGGAGGATGTGTGACAGATTAGATATTCAAAACTTTCTGGGGGAGGACTCCCAGGACCGACCCCGCCTTACCCCCCAATTCCCCCACCCTCACACACTTCTGGTTCAAAGCTAGCTTTTAAAGTTGGTTTTTAAGATTGTTTGTTTTTTTCTAATCAACATTGTTCCACATAAAAATGCTGTAACTTTGCCAGTTTAAAATTTGGTGTAACCACAGCCCAACACAGTCTATATGACATTTCACAATATTACAGTTATTTTAAAGGCTTGACCAGAACAACAACAGATCCATCATTTCTCAGCACAAGATAATCTTACCCTGAAAGTCTGTCATGAATGGTAGCAGGTGATATGCATTCCTTAAAAAAAAATTAAAAAAAACGCCAGGCAGCTGAGACGAGCTGGTCTGGGAAGTTCAGTCCTCACCTCCTTCTACAGGTGTGCAGTGGAGAGCATCCTGTGCTCCAGCATCAACGTGTGGCATGGAGGCTGCACAGCTGCAGAAAGAAAAGCTTTGCAGAGAGTGGTGAAGGCTGCACAGAAGATGTTGGAGTCAGTCTCCCCACCATCACAGACATCTACACCTCCAGATGCAGGAAGAGGGCCACCTGCATCATGAAGGACTCCACTCACCCAGCACACACACTTTTTGCCCTGTTACCCTCAGGAAGGAGGTTGAGGAGCATTAAGTGTAGAACCACTAGACTGAGGAACAGCTTCTACCCTGAGGCTGTTAGACCATGAATCTCTAACAAGGAGAATCACTGTAAGGAAGAAAACGAATCACTATAATGCCACTTGATTGTTGATGTGTGCTGCTGATTATCTCGTGCTGCTGATCTCATGCTGCTGTATCTATTCATACCCATCTGCTCACTACAGACTCATTTAATATACCGTATTATTTTACAAATACATTATTAGCGTATATCTTAGAGTACTGTTTGGCATTTGTTTAGCTTTATCTTAGTTTATATCTTAGATCCTTATATAGTGTTTTTTATACTTTACATTTTTGCTATTTTGGGTGCAACTGGGATCTTGAGTACACAAGTTCCATCCACCTCATGTACCACATGTGATGGAAATGACAGTAAAATTGACTTGAACTTGTTGAAAGCAACCCTGACACCTCAGTTCTGGCTGTGATCTTGTAAAAACCACACCTGCAGTTTAAATCTCTCAGTTGTCAAAGGTTTGTATCATTTTTCACCCCTAACATGCACGTCCGTCTCTTTACCTGCTTTTCATAGTGGGGTCGTGGGGAGCTGGTGTCCAGGTGCCAGCTGTTGGCTGCTGCACTGCTCCACCATGACCCCGCTCACCATCTACTTAAAGCAAAATCAAGTTACACATAAAATCCTCTCAAAGGTTCAAATATTTAGAATAAAGGACAGAACCTCCAACTTATTCCCAGAAGTGAGAAGAGCAGATTGTTCTGACCCAGTGTCTGCTAGTTCCAAATAAAACCTGCAGGTGGGAATCACCAGGCAGATCCTGATGCTGTAACCTGGGGTGCGTTTAGTCACGTGGTTCAGGAGGATCTCAGTGTGTGCAGGTCTGGTACCAGGTTCGGGTCTGGACCATCAGACAGGACCTGCTGTCAGTGGATCCGTTCAGATTCAGTCGGAACCGGGACATTAAGGGAAGCACAAGTCCTGCTTGAGCTCTTCACAGATTTCTCTCAATATGCATGTGATGCGCGCGCACCTGCACGGACAGATGCAGACGCTCACGCGCACACGCATACCACCTCAGGAGCAGGGTTCGGGGTGCAGTGCTCACACGTGCACACCGCGAACATTCTGCACAAAGCGGCACGCGCGCACACGCCCCTCTGATTCCGCAGCGGTCTTACCTCCAGACCTGGCCCAGCTGCAGGACGTGCAGCACGCTTTGAAAGACCCACATGCAGACTGTGCAGCACCTGCGGGGGGGGCCTGTCCCCCCGGCCGCGGCGGGCTGAGCAGAGGCTGTGTACACCGGGGGAGCCGCGGCGCTGTCCTTGGTGCTGGAAGCGCTGTCGCCCGCCGCCGCGCAGCTGCCGGTGGCGGGCGCGTCCCCGCCGCTGAGATCAGAGTAGTCATACACGAACCACCTGAAACTCAGAACCTGGACCACGGCGGAGGGCACCACCACAAAGACCAGCGTCAAGCCGAACCACCAGTAGTCTCCTCTCAGGTAGTAGTCGGCGGCCAGCCACAGGTCGGTCGCGCCGTCGGAGAAGAAGACGAGCATGGCGCACAGGAGCCAGCAGCAGTCCACCAGGGTGTAGGGCTCCCCGCCGGGGGCAGCGCAGCCGGGCCGGCCTGGGGGGGGCTCCGGCACTGAGAGGCTCCTGGACGGGTTGTCATCCTCCGCAGACACCGCTGCTCCATCCGACTTAGCGGCCATGTTGGTTGGATCCGAGAGAAAGACAGAAGGAGGTGGGGAAACAAGAAGGAAAGGGAGGGGGGCGTCTGAGCGCGAGGCAGGGAGAGGGGGGGAAGATTACATCATAACTAACCTCATCATCAGCCAATTAACTGATAGCAGGCTGTTAACCCGACACACCACAACACACTTCTACCAACAGTTCGGATCTGCAGGGCTCGGTTCAGTGTGACCCGGTTCTGTTGCGGTGACTGCGGCACAGAACCCGTGGATGTTCCAACCTGCAGTCACACAGTCAGTGAAGGCGCCATCATCATCCTCGTTAATGGCTGCAATAAAAGAATCCTGACCAGTTATTTCAGATGAGTCTTTCAGGACTAATCAAAAAGAGTTTTTGAAAATCCAACAGCGGGACCTCTGGAGAGGCTTCCTTAGTTCAAACGCGTCGATCACCCCATCTCTGAGGGATTAGAATAGTAAATGTTTGCAGTTATCTAGATAAGTGTTTTTCTGGACTGGAACTGAACAGTGAATGCAAGTAAACCTTCAAGATGTTCAAGTGGGCAGGAGTCACACTGTGGAGAAGACCAGATGTGGTGCATGTTCACTAATCATCTAACAAAGTTAAGTCAGGCCGTCTGGATGAAAACAAAAACTTTCTGAAACGTTTTGTCTTTAATCCAAAAGACTTCGTCAGACTGAGGAGCTGCAACAAACTCAGTCTCAAAAACAGCACCTATACTGGATCAACCAGTTTGTTGTTGACATCCAGAACCAGCTGGAAGACCATCAGCCCAACAGCTGATCATTAGTGCTCTGATGGTGAAGTCTTTTGGATTAAAGACAAAACGTTTCAACATTATTATTATTATTATTATTTAATCCATCCAGAGGACCTGACTGAACTTTGTAAGAACAGATGCAGTTTTTTTCTCTTGTCCGAGGCAGCAGATTGACAGGTCCTGGAGAGTGGAGGGATCAGTTTTATCCACCACCAGATGCAATGGTGTAGACAGGGGGTGGCCAATGGTGGCCAAGGCCACCACAGATTAATTTTCGACCGCCCCAGTCCTTTGAGGAAACTAAGAACTGGAATGCAAAGTTTCCTTATATGGTAGGGGTTGCTGGTTTACCTATGATGGTGACTTTCTTGGAGTTTGACATAGCAAACCAAATATCAACAGTGACCTTGTTTTCACCTTGATGCAGCCACACACCAAAATGGAAATTGGTACTTCGCTTATTTTTCAAGGTATCATGCTCACAACATGAACAGATGGACATATTTGCAATTCTGCCCCTTCGCTCCTGAATGGGGACAACCACACACCCATCATGACAGAAAGGCTTCAGCTCTTTGTTTGCCTGGCCCATAAATGTTTTGGTCACATGGAGGTGCAATTAGGAGGGAAGCTGAGTGGGAATAAGTCTTGATGTGCCATTGTAAGGTTCAGAGTGTTTAATATGAGCTGAAAGAGTACGAGCATGGATTCAGTTGTTACAGCAGCAAGACTAACTGCAGTAAACTCTTCTCAAGCTATTTACAGAAAAGTACTGTATATAATACACTCATATAAAGAAAAAGTATATAGTACAAGTATAAGTACTAGGGATTGAAGAAACTAGTCGACTAGTCTATTCTAGGGTATCTTGCGAGTTTTTACATTTCACGTCGACTAGTCACAGTCACCACCGCCAGCCCTGCTGTTCCCAGCCCTATTCCACCTAATCCACGTTGTGAATAAAATAAAATAAATTTAAAACAACGGGATGGTGTCATTTCTAACACGGCTGCGCCCAGCCCGAGCTGGATGGGCAGGTGGGTTGGTGTTAGGCTTTTGATCACCACCAGCCGCGCTGACCGACTGGTAAAAAGACGTACAAACAAGTCCAGATGACTGACAGTGACCCACCTGAAGCTTATCAGCTGCCTCATCAGCGGATGCACGGCCGACCATCATTATTAACTATAATAACTATAATATAAGGTGCTCCACCACTGCCCACCCTGCTGCCCTCAGTTCCATTTCACCCAATCCACAGTGGATTAAATAAAATAAAACTAAGAACAGCAAGGCGGGTGGTGGTGGACTCCATCACCACCTGGCCCGCCTTGTTGTTCTTAGCCTTGTTTTTTACGTGCCGCACGTCTTTCACTTTTGCAGCTTAATAATAGTTTTGGTTTTCCTGTGACTTACAGGTCCTTCTCAAAAATTTAGCATATTGTGATAAAGGTCATTATTTTCCATAATGTAATGATAAAAATGAAACTTATATATTTCAGATTCATTGCACACCAACTGAAATATTTCAGGTCTTTACTTGTTTTAATACTGATGATTATGGCATACAGCTCATGAAAACCCAAAATGCCTGTCCCAAAAAATTAGCATATCATGAAAAGGTTCTCTAAATAAGCTATTAACCTAACCATCTGAATCAACGACGTAACTCTAAACACCTGCAAAAGATTCCTGAGGCTTTTAAAAACTCCCAGCCTTGTTCATTACTCAAAACCGCAATCATGGGTAAGACTGCCGACCTGACTGCTGTCCAGAAGGCCATCATTGACACCCTCAAGCAAGAGGGTAAGACACAGAAAGAAATTGCTGAACGAATAGGCTGTTCCCAGAGTGCTGTATCAAGGCACCTCAGTGGGAAGTCTGTGGGAAGGGAAAAGTGTGGCAGAAAACGCTGCACAACGAGAAGAGGTGACCGGACCCTGAGGAGGATTGTGGAGAAGGGCCGATTCCAGACCTTGGGGGACCTGTGGAAGCAGTGGACTGAGTCTGGAGTAGAAACATCCAGAGCCACCGTGAACAGGCGTGTGCAGGAAATGGGCTACAGGTGCTGCATTCCCCAGGTCAAGCCACTTTTGAACAAGAGACTGCGTCAGAAGCATCTCGCCTGGGACTGCTGCTGAGTGGTCCAAAGTTATGTTCTCTGATTACAGTAAATTTTGCATTTCCTTTGGAAATCAAGGTCCCAGAGTCTGGAGGAAGAGAGGAGACACAGAATTCACATTGCTTGAGGTCCAGTGTCAAGTTTCCACAGTCACTGGGGTGTCATGTCAGCTGCTGGTGTTGGTCCACTGTGTTTTATCAAGGGCAGGGTCAATGCAGCTATCAGGAGATTTTGGAGCACTTCATGCTTCCATCTGCTGAAAAGCTTTATGGAGATGAAGATTTCATTTTTCAGCACGACCTGGCACCTGCTCACAGTGCCAAAACCACTGGTAAATGGTTTACTGACCATGGTATTACTGTGCTCAATTGGCCTGCCAACTCTCCTGACCTGAACCCCATAGAGAACCTGTGGGATATTGTGAAGAGAAAGTTGAGAGACACAAGACCCAACACTCTGGATGAGCTTAAGGCCGCTATCGAAGCATCCTGGGCCTCCATAACACCTCAGCAGTGCCACAGGCTGATTGCCTCCATGCCACGCCGCATTGAAGCAGTCATTCATGCAAAAGGATTCCAGACCAAGTATTGAGTGCATAACTGAACATGATTATTTGAAGGTTGGCGTTTTTTGTATTAAAAACACTTGTCTTTTATTGGTGGGATGAAATATGCTAATTTTTTGGGACAGGCATTTTGGGTTTTCATGAGCTGTATGCCATAATCATCAGTATTAAAACAATTAAAGACCTGAAATATTTCAGTTGGTGTGTAATGAATCTGAAATATATAAAAGTTTCATTTTTATCATTGCAATATGGAAAATGATGACTTTTATCACAATATGCTAATTTTTTGAGAAGGACCTGTATTTGCAGTATGATAAATGATAGGAGCATAAATATACACTCCCAATGTTTTGTTGTTCTTTTCTTGTTTGTAAATAACAAATTACGTTTATTTGCTTTTTTTTTTTCAAATATGATATAGCATCTTGATTTCCTATAACGCCACTGACTAGTCGATGCCGACTTTTATTGTGTTAAAGTCGACTTTAAAAAATATGTAGTCACTCATTCCCTAACAAGTACACTGGAATATTGCACGATTTCTCCACTGACTGCCTGTAAAACATTCTGTGTCTGTTTCTCCTTCCTGTCCTCTCGAACCCCAGCCAGTCTAAGAAGATGGCTGCTTGTCCTGAGGCTGGTTCTATCAGAGATTTATTCCTGTTAAAGGGAGTTTTTCCCTTTCCACTGTCTCCTTTGTACTCGCTCAGGATGGGAAACAAAGTGAAGATTCAACAAGTCTGTTGCTTCCTTAGATAAATAATTTTCTACTAATTGGCTTTTATAATGTATGTGAATGTTTCTGTACAGTGCCCTGAGACAACTTCTGTTGTGATTTGGCGCTATAGAAATAAACTGGATGGCTGCCACTCATGCGGCGCCATGGCAACATGGCAAATAACAGTCACACTCAACACTGAGAGCTAATAAATCTTGTAAGATCTTACATAAGATTACACATAATGTTATTTTTGAAGTTTGACCAAAACTTTCCCATTTCTGTTCCTTCCTCATCATACAGTGATCTTAGTATGAACCCCTGGCACGTATAGCATACAGTTTCTGGAACCGGAACAGCTTCCTGTTGATGCAGCAATGCATTCAGCTGACTGGACCAGAACCACAGTTCTGTTTGCAGCAGTAACTATGCTAATTGATGAGATCCAATAAACCAGGAGCAGAACAGGCAGTTAAAAAAACAACAACAACGTTTTGTGAGTTACTGCTCTGTACTTCATCAGCCCAATAAACAAATTGGCTGCCATGTTTTTATCATGGAGCGGAGCAGAGTTTATTACAGTGATGCTTGAAAATTTGTGAACTCTTTATAATTTTCTACAAAGTATATTTCTGCATAAATATGACCTAAAACATCATCAGATTTTCACACAAGTCCTAAAAGTTGATAAAGAGAACCCAGTTAAACAAATGAGACAAAATATTATACCTAGTCGTTCATTTACTGAGGAAAATGATCCAATATTACATATTTGTGAGTGGTTAAAGTATGTGAACCTCTAGGATTAGCAGTTAGTTTGAAGGTAAAATT